AAAGCTATGCCACCTGTATTTTAAATTCCAGCAGGGTCACCCAGGATCGGACCAGGATCAGACAATTTTTCATTCTGCTGTGCATAAGGTCACTACGAGTCGGTGCCGACTCGATGGCACCTAACAACAACAACAACAGGGTCACCCATGGTGGACAGGTTTCAGATGAGCTTACAGGCAAAGACAGACTAGGAAGAAACAGTGAGAACTACTTCCGAATCTTTAGTCACTGAAAACCTTATGAATAGCAGAGAAACACTGTCAGATACGGCTCTATTAGTGCATCTAAAATGAAACAAAAGTTTTAAATAATACTTAATAATTAAATAGCATTCCTAGTGCTATACAGGTGAAAAATGGGGGAGGCAGGATTTGAATCCAGCCCTCTCTAAGTCCAGACATCATATAATTTTATTGTGGCATTGTTGTTGTCAGGTGCCATCAAGTCGGTTCCAACTCGTAACATCCCCTATGCACAACAGAATGAAACTCTGTCCTCTCCTGCACCACCCTCACAACTGTTGTTATGTTTCAGGTCATTGGCACAATCCATCTCATTGGGGGTCTTCCTCTTCTTCCTTCTTTACCAATCACAATGTCCTCCATGGACCAGTCTCTCCTGACAACGTGTCCAAAGTACAAGAAACGAAGGCTTGCCCTCCTTGTTTCTAAGGAGCATTATGCCTGTACTTGTTCCAAGACAGATGGACTTGTTCTTCTGGCAGTCCATAGTACTCTCACTATTCTTCTGCAACACCATAGCTCAAATGCATCAATTCTTCCACCTTCTTCCTTATTCTTTGTCCAACTTTTCACATGCATATGAGGACATTGAAAATACCATGGCTGGAATCCTGATGTTTGGTACCTTAGTGCTCAATTCACCAGCAGCTCTTCGGAAACCCTATTTGTTGTTGTTGTTCGGTGCCATCAAGTCAGTACCGACTGATAGCAACCCTATGCATAACAGAATGAAATACTGCCCAATCCTGGGCCAACCTCAATACTGTTGCCACACTTGAGTCTATCAATGCTGCCACTTGGCCAATCCATCTCGTTGAGGGGAGGGAGGGGAAGGTCTTCCTCTTTTTCTCTGACCCTCCACCTTACCAAACATGATATCCTTCTCCAGTGACTAGGTCCCTTCTGACAATGTCTGAAGTATGAGAGACAAAGTTTGGCCATCCTGGCCTCCAAGGAGCACTCTGGCTGCACTTCTTCCAAAATGGATCTATTGGTTCTTTTGGCAGCCCATGGCACTTTCAATATTCACAATGAGTCTAACCAACTCAATAACACTTAACAACAACAACAAGCTGTTAAAGTAACATCTTTGCTCCTTAACACTTTTAAAAGGTCTTTTGCAACAGATTTTCCCATTGCAAGTTTATCCCACTTCCATCTCTGCTTGGGGGTACAGTTCTCCATGACAACTATCTCTTTTATAGCTGCTCTTATCATGTATTGAAACATTAGTGACTTTGTGCTGGAGAGAAGAACAGTCTCACAAGTTTTGTTGGAAGGTGTGAACTTCTCCTGTGTCTCTGCCCTGCTGTGCCTGCCATACCACAAGGTGGGAAAGGTCAGAGTTGCCCTCACATGGACAACTCTGTGATGTGTCTTATGGTTTTGAATTTTAGGCTGTGATGGATTAGACGGGGAGTTACCATTTTAGCTTGTAGATTGCTGTTCCAGTTTAGGAAATGTAAGCCTATTTTCATGAGGGAAAAGTCGCACATTTTAATAAGAAGTGGTGGCAATTTTAGAACAGAAATACCCAAGTTTGTGTTCTCATGAAAATAGTTAAGACCTTGCTTTGAAACCAGAGTTACAAGATGTAACTGAGGCAGGCCCATCTGCGGCAAGTCCAGGGGGGATTACTACTAGGAGACCAGCTTCCCTCCTCGTTTCTTTAATTCCAGCACAGAAGGTTGGACTTCCCCAAACCAGGACTTCCAAGAAAGTATTGACAAGGAATTTCTTACACTCAGCCAATATTGTTGTTGTTAATAGGAGTCCTGGTATGGTGCTGTAGGATAAACACTGGATCACAAGATTGGTTTGAACCAGAAGATCAGAGGTTCAGACTCACCAGTTATTCTTCAGAAACCCTATGTAGGGTTGCTATGAGTCAGAAATGACATGACAGCACTTAACAACAACAACAACTGATGTTGTTAGGTGCCATCGAGTTGGTGCTGACTCATGGTGACTCTATGTACAACATAGGCCCTGTCCTATGCCATCCTCACAATTATGGTTCTATTTGTGCCCATTGCTGCTGCCCCTGTGCCAATCCATCTTGTTGGGCGTCTTCCTCTTTTTCTCTGACCCTCGATTTTACCACGCATGATGTTCTTCTCCAGGGACTGATCCCTCCTGATAACTTGTCAAAAGTATGTGAGACAAAGTCTCACCCTCCCCGTTTCTCAACAGGTAACTCCCAGCAGTTTCACAGTGCACCCCTGTGTTAGCACCCAGAAAAGTGGCAGGTAATTCAGAGCACCTACGGATTGGTTGAGAAACCAGGGTGTCACAGCACTTGGCTGCTGAACACAAGGTCAGCAGTTCAAATCTACCTGCTGCTCTGTGAAAGAACACTGTGGCAATCTGCTGCCATAAATGTTACAGTCTTAGAAACCCTATAGAGCAATTTACTGTGACATAACGTTGCTATGAGTTGGAATCAAATGGTGTTTTTTTTGGTTTTGGGTAGAGCCATTGTCAGAAGACCTGGTTCTCCTTTCTTTGTTTATGTGAGATTATGTGCAGGTTTCTCATAATTTTCAAGCCTCCTCTTTCTAATCAGAGAAATAAAGGGGCCGGTCTTGCCCTGCTGTTCTCCAGGCACACACACACACACACACACACATGCACACACAGTCAAAACCCAAACCAATTGCCATCGTGCCAATTCCAACCCAGGGCACACGGATATACGCAGAGGAGAGCTGTTTCTTAGGGTTTTCAAGGCTGTGACCATTCAATGGAAGATAGCCAGGCCTTTCTTCCAAGGTGCCTCAGGGTGGATTCAAACTTTCAATTAACAGTTGATCATGTAACCATTTATACCACCCAGGGATGCTAATCATAAGAAAAGAGGTTCAATAAGGAGGAGGGAAGGAATGAGGGGAGATGGCGCTCTCATCTTCCTCTCGATCCTAGTGACCATCTGTTATTAGTGGTCTAAGTTTCCAGCTCCACTATGTGCTTTCTCCACCCTTCCTCCCAGCCTTGAGGTAAATCTGAATGTTACCCAGAACAGAAGTTCATGACACACCTGCTGCTCCTCCTCACGGTGGTACTCAGCTATGAGGTTAAAGGGCACAGTATACAGGGTGCTGGACATAACGCCAAACATAGTGCACAGCACCAGGGTGGAGTAGACATTCGGGAAGAGGCCGATGAACCCCGTCCCCAGGCCAAACAGCAGATAGCCCGTGAAGTAAAGACCCTTCAATCCCATGAAGGAGACTAACACTTTCTGAAAGTCTGTAAAGAGAAGAAAGGGTGAAATTAGAGCCAGCAGGGCCTCACAACACCAAAGCATTCCAGACAATCCTTTCTTTTGAAGAAACACTTATCCGGAGACTTCCTTTGATACCAAGTCAGGAACAAAAGGACTGCCTTATCTGTGCTTGGAAACAGCTGGCTTCTGGAATCACTTTTAAATCCTTTGCATAAAGGAAACCTTGAAATTTCTTTTTCACAGTGAAGGACCATGCCCTTTCTAGCTCTTTTTAGAGGGGTTAGGAAAAACTCGGCATGGCGCCTTGCCTATGCACCCCTGGGGCTGCCAGATGTGAAAGAAAACTGTGGGTTAATCTGACCCAGAGGAGCCCCCTGGGTGGTGCAAAGGGTTACTGCTCTTGGCTGCTATCGAAGACCTTTGGAGCCCAGCTCTACTCTGACACATTCAGGGTCACCACGAGTCAGAGTTGAAGCAATGGCAACGAGTTTTTTTTCTTTTCTTCCTTCTTCTAATTCAAAGTGATTTAGCCTAATGGGACCAAAATACCAAAACAGATTTTTCCCACTGTCTGAAAGTACCACATTCTTGTGAAACCTTTTGTAAGACAAGATAAGATAAAGTGAAGATGCAATTACTAATAAATTTTTTTGAGAAAAGAAATTGGAGACCCAAAAAATCAAACCAAATAACACATGAAAACCAAGTAACACTAGCAGACACAGTTCTAAACTATGGCAAGTTGAGGCTAAGATGCTGAGTGCAGTTCCCAGTGAAGGAGCTTGGGGGCGCCACTCCCCACCTCAGGGTGTGCAATGCCTCTTTAAGGGCTCACTGCAAAACAAACACTGAATACTAGTTCCACTTTTCTCCCTTTTCCTAAGAGCAAAACCCCTCTTCTGATAATAAAAGCAGGTATTAATGTAGATCTTTCATGAAAACTAAGGAGTGTGAAGTGAACTTTCAAAATGCGAGGGGTACCTGTATAAGCCTGCCTTGGTCCCGTGATCCAAAGTTGAGTTGGGGAAAATATCAAAAACTTTTCAGAATGGTTCAAGTCATCCATGTTTCCCTGAACACAGTTTAACTGCCAGAGAAGGAGGTGGTCATGGTGGTTGTGTATCGTTGAGTTGGTTCTAATTCATAATGATGCTGTGTAGGGGTCTTGGTGTGGCAATGTGGGATAAAGCACTGGACAAAGTTTGAATTGCAAGGTTGCCAGTTCAAACTCACCAGTCACTCCTGGGAAACCCTGTATAGGATTGCTATGAGTTGAAACCAACTCGATGATACTTAACAACAACATAAGATTTATGGGAGCAGAAAGCTTCATCTTTCTTCCACAGAACAGCTGATAGATTCAAACTGCTGTCTTTGTGGTTAGCTATCCAGCTTGTAATCTACTATAGCAGGGATGGGGAACGTCCAGCCCGTGGACCACACAAGGCCTGCAAAATCATTTGGTCTGGCAAGACAACTGCAGTTCCAACCATCATATTGGAGTGGGTTCGTTAAATGTTTGACAAAATACAGCAGGCTAATTTTTAAGGTGATAACTTTGAATGATTTAGGAATGATTTTATAAATATCCAAATGGTCCTTGACAAGTTTATGAGGAGCAGCTGGTGAGTTTGAACGAACATTCTTGCAGTTCAACCTGACCTAGTGGTTGAGTGCTTATCCTACAGCACCTTACCAGGAGGTAATAGCATAAATGATCTGCAGACCCTTTTCCCGACTTGCCAGCCCTTCCCAGCACCTCCTCAGTACTGGTTCCCTCAGTCTGTGGACAAGTTTCTGAACTTCTTAAAACCTCAGCTTCTTAATCTGAATAATGGGAACACTACAATTTTCCTTGAGGGTTATTATAGAATCAAAAGAGATTAAATACCAGTGAAATCATCTAGCATGTAGAAGACATCCAAGTCATCTGGCTATTGCTACTCTCCACCACCCACTGTCAGCTTTCCATATTAGGGTGGCTTGCATGTTGCTATGAGTGGTTGGGGTGCTGGAAGCTATGCTATCAAGCAGCAGGGTCACCCATGGTAGACAGGGTCCAGTGGAGCTGTAAGTCTAAGATAAACTAGAAAGAAAAACCTAGTGATTTACTTCTGAAAAGTAGTCAGGGAACGTCTACGGATCACGACAGAACACTGTCCAACTCTCTTGCTTTGGACACATCATCACAAGGAATCAATCCCCGGAGAAAGACACCAAGTCTGGAGAAGGAGAAGGTCAGTGAAGAATTGGCGTAACAGCCACAACGTTGGACTAAACTATGTCAGCAAGTATGAGAATGATGTGGGAGCTGGTAAGGTTTCGTTTTCTCACACATAGGGTCACTGTGAATCAGAGGAGGCTTGATGGCAGATTTCTGTCTGACTGTCTCTCTATCTCTATCACTGTGTCTATCTACCTATCATATATCCATCTATTGCTCTTTCAATGAATGGAAACCGCATTCAAGATTGCTGACTCTTAACTTGATGGCCCTTCCAGCAGATAAAATTGACCTGTTCACAAAAGCATTTAAAAGTATTGGTAGAGCTGATTTTAATTTTTTAAAACAATTTTGTTTAAAGACTCTTTAGAATAGCTTTCCCAATGGTAAGAAAAATCTCTAGGAAACTCTTATTCTTCTGTTTTAATCTGGGTACTCCTTACCTCTCTCCTACCCTATTCTTCGGGAACCCATGAACCCAGGAATAAACGAAATGCCCCTTTCAGGAACAAAATCCCCTGTGTAACCAAGGAATTATTGCACTCCACCATGTAGACAAGAAGTAACTGTGCAGCACAGTGAATCGATGCTGAAACCAAGCATGGCTTCAAGTCCTTCCAGTGAAAGACGGAACTCTAGAAATGACAAGCTGGGAGCATTGCTTCCTCCATTACAGTCATGGTGTGCCTGAAGGGCTGTTGTCTAGGCCGAGAAGGAGAGCAGTATGAAGCCAGGTCCATTTCTATTTGCTTAATGCTTACACTTATGGAGAAATGTAACTCAAGATGTCTTAGGACTTAAAAGATTCCATCTGTATTCATTAGAGAAATCCTCTTATCTAAGTGTGTAGGCCAGTTGAAGAGAAGGCAAAGATGGATAGTTGGAGAGATATTTGCAAATAAAAGTAACTTCAGTATGAAGACTGAAAGCCTGGCAAAAAATGCTTCATTCATGAATAAAAATCAATACATTTAAGGGTTGAGTTGACTTGCCCTCTGATGGGTCTGATACTCAGTGCTAGTCGTGTGCCTCTTGTTAGAATTGGAGGGAAATGGCTGGTTTTAGCTCCAGCTATGAATAATCATGTTTGATATGAAATATATATGGTGGTGGTTATGTGCCGCGGAGTCAATTCCGACTCATAGCTACCCTGCATAGGGTTTCTGGGGCTGTAAATCTTTACAGGAGCAGAAAACCTGATCTTTCTCCTGTGGAATGGCTGGTAGTTTTGAATTCCTGTCCTTTAGGCTAGCAGCCCAACTGGTAATCACTACACTACCAGAGCTGCTTATGAAACATATATGTTGTTAAGTGCCGTTGAGTCGATTCCAACCCATAGCAACCCTGTATAGGGTTTCCGAGGAGCAGCTGGTGAGCTTGAACCACCGACTTTGCAGTTCAAACAACTTCGCAGTCTGATGCATTAGCCCACAGCACTACACCAGGACTCCATGAAATACATATTGTTGTTGTTATTGTTAGGTGCCATCAAGTCAGAATCGACTCATAGCGACCCCATGCACAGCAGAACGAAACAATGTCCAATCCCGGGCCAACCTTACTACCGCTGCCACACTTGAGTCCATTAATGCTGCCACCTGGCCAATCCATCTCATTGGAGGTCTTCCTCTTTTTCTCTGACCCTCCATCTTACCAAGCATATATGTGTGTGTGTGTATAGTGTGTGTGTGTGGTGTGTGTGTGTGTATATATATATATAATAGTGGAGTCCTGATGTGGTGCTGTGGGTTAATGCACCAGCCTGCAAAGCCTTTTGAAATGCAAGGTCGGTGGTTAAAGCTCACCAGCTGCTCCTCAGAAAGTCTGTACAGGATCACTATGGGTTGGAACCGACTCGACGGCACTTTACAACAACAGTGTATAATAGTATTGCTATTCTTGTTGATCTAAGTGTTCTTACTGTGCTTGAACACAAGTCCCTTCTCACCATACCTTCAGTTAACACACCATTCTCTACCTAGATGGGAATACTGAATCTGTAGCAGAAGCTATGTGTTGGGTCCAAAGCTAAGAGTTAACTACTGATTGTGCTCTGGAATTGAAAGAAAGGATTGTTTCTGCCCAGGATGGGGTTGGGATACAGAGAGAGTGGAAGTTTTCACAGAAAAAGTGGTATTTGAGTTGGGTCTAAACATATGATGAGAAGTTGTCTAAGTGGGAAAATAGCAAGAGCAGCTCAGGTAAAAGGAAACCATGAGCCATGGTGAACACATAGAGAAAGACAGTCTATGGAGTGAGTATCAGGGGTGGGCAATGACAGCGAGGGTTGTTGTTGGTAAGTGTTGATGTTCTGACTCAT